TATATAAATTTGTTATAGGGTATAGGCTTGCCAGGGAAAGAAAGAGAGTGAGTGGGAAAGTGAAAAAGCATCCCTTAGGAGAGATGGCCATGCCACAACTCCTTCTCCTCCTTTCTTCTCTCAGGATTTCAGGTACATACACATGGACCTAGCATGTTTTTCAAATTGCCAGGTCTGGGACTTGAACTGCATAATTGATCATGTGGGATCCAGCCATCCCAACTACCATGCCAATGACTGGCTCCTGACTGTACTTTTATGTTTAAAACTTTCAACTATGAGCAGCACGAAGATAAAGTATTTTATCAAAGTTTTGATATTTCCTTCAGATCGAAGGGTTTTTTTTTTTTTTTTGACTTATTAGGTATTTCAAGTTACACATCTATATATTTGTTCTATTTGGATTATATCTTTTTATGTGATTTGTAAATTTAAGAAATTTGAAATGCTTTCAAATATGTAATTATTTTTCAGGCTCAACATAACACAAGAATGCTAGCTACTTACGCAGCTATTGATCCTAGAGTACAGTACTTGGGATATACGATGAAAGTGTTTGCTAAGGTATTTATGAAAAAGTTAATGACTTGCTTTTTTATAATATTCATAATTAAAGTTAAACATACCGATATTAGACTTATGAAAGGTATTGTCTCAGTTTTGTTTATGTAAGCTTTTTTAAAAAGACATATTGGATAGATTGAATTTATACTGTTAAGGTACAGTGTTTTGTTTTGTTTTGTTTTGTTTTATTAGGTTTTTTCCATAGGGTGCGTGCCCTCACCAGAGAGACAGAGAGAGGGAAAGTAAGAAATCACCCCTTGGGAGGATGGTCACACCACAATCCCTTTTTGGAATTTTGGGCATGATGCACAAGCATCCAGTGTGACTTTCAGGCTGCTTCACCACCATGCCACCCACTGGCACCAGTGTACAGTGGCTCTTGGTTTTTTCATTGTGTGCTCTATTCTCATGTGCAGCCAACCCACTAATCAGTTTTTCAGTAGTAAAATTTCTTACAGCCTTGATGATTTTCAACCCAGATACGGAAATTGGCATAGCAGCCTTTAAAGAATCTCTGGGCTGAATCTATGGTTTGTGGTTAAGGCAGCCAGATTCCACATGGATGGTGGCACGGTTCAAACCCTGGCCCTGGAAAATAATGCCAGGTGTGTGTGTGTGCGTGCGCAGGCCTAAGATCCCAACAGGATAGAGAAATGTAAAAGAAGGGATTATGATGTGACAGTGTCCCCATGAGGCGTGCTTTGACTTCCTCTAGTGAGAGCATGCAGCCTCTTTTAAAAAAAAAAGAAAGAAAGAAAGAAAAAGAAGAGTCAGTGCCATGACTGCATCTGGGCTTGCTTGGCTGTTTGGCCACATCCTGGCCTCAGCTAGGAGAGCGGCAAGCTCATGCCTCCTGTGTCATTCTTTGAGGAAAACAAGTTCTTCTCAAGAAAGAAACCCTGAACCTGTCAAACAATCTCTTAAGAAACCATAGTTACCAGAAGGTCGTTTTGATGCACCAGAAGATTCCAGTTTAGAGAAGGAACCACTAGAAAAATTTCCAGATGGTGTTAATCCAGTTACCAAAGAAAAAGGTGGACCCAGGGGCCCAGAACCTACCTGATAAGGAAAATGGGGATGAAAAGGATGCTGTATTGATTTTTAAGTCATATCAGAATTGTTTTCTGAATATGTATATCTGCATTAACTACTTACTTATGATTTTTTATTTATATTCTTTAAGTCACCTAATTTCTATAATGTGCCTGAAATATATATGTGATGGCTTTAAAAGAAAATATGCTGCTATATATTATGAAAAGGAAAATATATCCATATTGGCACAGATTAACTTAAACTTAAATGCATTGGGGTATATAAATTATGATTAGAGCTGCACACCTTTATTATATTCCATCACTTTTCAGCTAAGATTGCTTCTAAGATGCACATGTGAATAAAATATTTTTTTAGTGGAAAAGAAAAGGAAAAAGAATCTCAGGGTTAGGAAATCTGATATTTAGATTTATCAAATTTTTCTGACAAAGAAAACAAAATAATACTAGTGTAACTGTATTCTTCTGTTTGAACACTTATGACATAGTTCTATAATAAGAAAACAGAATTGTAAATTTCATGATGGCAAGGACCTCTGATTGCCTAGTTCAGTTTAGTGCCTGCTTTATGGCAACTGATCAATGAACAGATAGCTTTATGAATGTGTGTTAGTGTACAGTTTTAGCAAGGGAATAACTTGGTCAGACTTTCATTTTACAAAGTTCAGTCTTTTTTTGAGAGAGAGATTTTTCCTATAGTGTACATACCCTTGCCAGAGAGACAGAGGCAGAGAGATAGAAAGGGGGAAATCACCCCCCAAAGGGGATGGTCACACTGCAGTCCCTTCTCCATTCTTCTCTCCCGATCTTGGGCACACATGCACACGCACCTGGCATGAGTTTTAAGTTGCCAGGTCTGGAACTCAAACTGTGGTCGACTACATGGTCCAGCAACATAACCATTACACCATCTGCTACTCTTGACAAACTTCAGTCTTTCTATCAGGGCAGCATATTTGTCAGATCTTTCTATACACGCTTTTCTGGAAAGGCTATTTTAGAAAAGGATAGCATGTAGGCATATGCTACATATAAAACTTGATGTAGCTACTTTTCTAGATTTACCTCACAAAATAACAGGATGATTTGTTGTAACTATGTGGAGTTTTGGTAATGAAACCAAGTGGTTTATGTCAGAAATCATACCTTTCCCCTTTATATATGAGCTAAATCCTTGCTCAAGGGGAGAAGTATTTGATGATTCTTTCAGGATTAAAAAAAAATTTTTTTTCATAGAGGTTATGTGTACTCACCAGAGAGACAGAAGGAGAAAGTACTCTTAAATTGGACAAAGTCACACCACAATCCTTTCTCAGTCTTTCCCTCCTTTTGGGATTTTGGGCATGAGCACATACATGCCTGGCATACTTCACTAGCCCTAGGACTCAGACTACACAGTTATCCATCTGGGAGATATGGCTGCCTTAATTATCAGGCCTTAGAGCTGGCTGAATTTTACCTTTCTGAACAGCCAAAATATTAATGTTCAGAATTTAAAAGGTTTAAAGGGATTTATGGTGAAAAATGGAAAATCTCTCTTCTACACCTCTCTTAGCCCTTGAGTACCTCTTGCTGGAGGTAGGCAATGTTAGAAGTAACTCGGTGTTTGCAAAAATAGGCCAGTAAAAACAAATACATTTCTTACCTAATTTTTTTTTTTTTTTTTGGAGAGATTTTTCACTGTAGCGCGCGTGCGCTCGCCAGACAGACAGAGAGAGCCATAGAGACAGAAAGCGAGAAATCACCCCCCAGGGGGGATGGTCACGCTGCAATCCCTTCTCCTCCATTCTCCTCTCGGGATCTTGGGCACACATGCACACGCGCCCGGCGTGAGTTTTAAGCCACCGGGTCTGGGATGCGAACCGCGGTCGACTACGTGGGAGTCCAGCAACATAGCCATTACGCTAACTGCTGGTTCCCCTACCTAATTTTTATTACAGGTATAGACACAGTGAAAACGTTCTGCTCTTAGCTTTTCTCACTTAGGAATAGATCTTAGAAGTTATTTCCTTTTACTATGCTAAGTGCTTTCTTGTTCTTCCTTTTTTATTATTATTATTTTAAAATTATTTTATTTAGATTTATTTATTTATTTATTTTAATTTGACCAGAGAGAGAGAAAGCAAGCTGCCAGGTCTGGGACTCAATTCGCAGTCGACCATGCGGAAGTCCAGTACCTGTAACCACCACTCCGGCTGCCGGCCCCATCCTTGTTCTTTCTTAATGGGAGCCTATTATTCCATTATGTGGAGTCTCCCCAATTTTTTAAAACTGTGCTTTACTAATGAACCTAAACTTGTTTTTTAATCCTTTTGCTTTTACAACAATGCTACAATAAAGAAACTTTTTGTTTAGTCATTTCACACATTTTTTTAGTGTGTTTACATAAGTTCTTTGGAAGAATTAATAGGTCAGAGGAAATGTGCTTATGTAATTTTGATATTGTCAAACTGTTTTTCATAGAGTTTCGATTAATTTACTTTCACCCATAATGTGTGAAAGTGCTGTTTCCCATAGTCTGTTTAACAGTTGTTCCCCCCTGCCCCATAACCCTGTTTAACTGTTTAGTAGTTTGTTATTGACGTTTTGGCTTTTTGCCAATTTGATGAGTTTAAAAAAAATAGTGTCTCAAAGTAGTTAATACTTCTACATTGAATAAGCTTCTGAAGTTTTGTTTTCAACCTTTTTCTTTTTCTTTCTTTCTTTTTTTTTAAGCGGTGTGACATTGGAGATGCTTCCAGGGGAAGTTTATCTTCATATGCATATATCCTTATGGTGCTGTACTTTTTACAGCAGAGAAAGCCACCTGTTATTCCAGTTCTACAAGAGGTAGGTATTTAAGAAAACTGTAATGTAGTTTATGCGAAAGCAGTGGGCCAAAACAAAGAAGATACTATTTAATTCATAACATCATGAAGGATTAAACAATAAACATTTGAAAAAATGTATTATGTGAGAATAGAGACTATCAAAAGATTATTGGATAAACAAAACCACTGAATCTTTTGTAACAATTTTGATTTTCAGTCCTAGAATGAGGCAGATGAATATGAAGTTTGTAACTTCATGAACTTACAAGTATGTAAGTTTTTTTTTTCTTTCTGGAACATTGTCCCTCCTTCTGCCTGGCAATGAATTTTGATTTATCCCTGTGTGTCCTTTAATCAATCTTAGGACTTTTGGTTGTGAACAAACCCAAGGAAATTGAACAAACCTGAGAAAACTCTTCTTCCTCTCTTTTTCTTTTTTTTTTTTTTGGTTTATGAGGGGTTTTTTTTGTTTGTTTGTTTGTTTTTTGTTTTTTTTTTGCTATAGGGTGCATGCACTCGTCAGAAAGACAGAGACAGAGAGACAGAAAGTGAGAAATCACCCCCTGGGGGTGTGGTGGCCACCTCGCAATCCCTTGTCCTTTCTCCTCTTGGGGTCTTAGGCATGCACACACGCGCGCCCGGCGTGAGTTTAAGCCAGCGGATCCAGGACTCTCACTACAGTCGATCACATCAGAATCCAGCAACATAGCCATTATGCCAAATGCTGGTCCCCTTCCTCTCTTCTAAAGTTATGTTAATTGCAGTAAGCATGTGAATACATATTGAGATAAACAGATTATACTCATACTAACTCAGAATTGGTGACACAGAGTACAAAGGAGTTTTTAACTGTCCATCAGATCTTACTGATTTTTGACACAGAGTGGATTTGTAGGCATTTGGGAGGATCTAGTTCTGATTTCTTTTCTTTCTTTCTTTTTTTTTTTTTTTTTTGTAGAGGTTTTTGCTACAGGGCATGTGCTCTCACCAGAAAGACAGACAGAGACAGAGAGATAGAAAGCAAGAAATCACCCCCCCAGGGGGATGGCCACACCACAATCTCTTCTCTTCCATTCTCCTCTCGGGATCTTGGGCATGCACGCACACGTGCCCCATGTGAGTTTAAGCCACCAGGTCTGGGACTCGAACTGCGGTTGACTACATGGAAGTTCAGCCACATAGCCATTGCTGCTAGCCCCCTTATTCTGATTTCTTAGAAGAGTGACTATTTTGAGGTCAAGAAACATCAGAATTTTTGGAAAACTGCATGTTTGGATTTCATGTAATAATTGATAGTGATGGCAAAGGAGATCAGAGAACAGCAAGCCATATTTTACGTGCCAGTTGGCCTTAGTAAGTTTTAAAAAATTCTAATGGATGACTTGTTTGTTTTTCTTTTTAGAAGTTTTTATTATTTTTTTAAGGCTAACTATATTTATTCATTTTATTTATTTGAATTTTACCAGAGAGGGACAGAGTGAGAGTGTGAGAGAGCCAGAGAGACAGAAAGCGAGAAAGCAAGCTGTCAGGTCTGGGACTCCAGTCGTAGTCAGCCATGTGGGAGTCCTGCACCCTCAACCACCATGCCACCTGCCGGCCCTGGTGATATGTGATTTTAATAGCATTTCCTTCCCTCTTCAAAAATGGAAGGGAAATAAAAATTTAAATATCTCTCCCTAGCAGAAAAATGTTAATTTCTTAAAATTTTAATTTTAAGAAAATCTTCACTGGGTTTTGTGTGTGTGCATGTGTGTGTGTTTTTAAATCCTTTATTTATTATTATTTTATTTAACTTTATTTATCTGTTTATTTTTAATTTGAGGGACAGAGAGAGTAAGAGCCCAAGAGGGAAAGTGAGAAAGCAAGCCACCTGGTCCAGAACTTTAACCGTGGTCAGCCATGTGGGAGTCCGGCACTTTTAACCACCAGGCCACCTGCTGGCTCTGAAAGTCTTTTTTTTTTTTTTCAGAATAGGTTTAAGTAGCAAAATTGAGAGGACAGTACAGATTTCCCCTTTGGCCCCTGCCACCACACATACGTACCCTCCCTCATCAACCCCATTAAAGTGATATTTCTTTTAGAATAGATGAGGGGCCAGCAGATGGCATAGGGGTTACGTTATTAGACTCCCACATAGCTAACTGTGGTTCAAGTCCCAGACCTGGTGACTTGAAAATCATGCCAGATGTGTGTGTGTAGACCTAAGATCCCAGGAAGAAAATGGAGGCGAAAGGATTGTGCATGATCATCCCCTCTGGGGAGTGATTTCTCACTTTCCCTCTCACTGTTTCTTTCACTGGTGAATGTATGCTCCCTAAGGCAAAAATCTCTTTTAAAAAAACAATAGATGGGGACCAGCAGCTGGCGTGGTGGATACATCACTGGACTCCCATGTAATCGACCACGGTTTGAGTCCTGGACCCGGTGGCTTAAACTCATGCTGGGTGTGTGTGTGTGCATGCCCAACATCCCTAGAGGAGAATGGAGGAGAAGGGATTGTGGCATGACCATCCCCCCTGGGGGGTGATTTCTCGCTTTCTGTCTCTCTCTGTCTTTTTGGCGAGCACACATGCTCTATAGCAAAAACCTCTCCAAAAAAAAAATAAATAAATTCCCTTATGCTCTGCCTAGTCATCCTGTTTCTCCTGGTCCCTGGCAACCACTGATTTTTTTTTTTTTTTCTGAGAGGTTTTCACTATAGGGCGTGTGCGCTTGCCAGACAGACAGAGAGAGACATAGAGACAGAAAACGAGAAATCACCCCCCAGGGGGGATGGTCATGCCACAATCCCTTCTCCTCCATTCTCCTCTCGGGATCTTGGGCACGCACGCACACGTGCTCGGCGTGAGTTTTAAGCCACTGGGTCCAGGACGCGAACCGCGGTCGACTATGTGGGAGTCCAGCAATATAGCCATTACGCTAACTGCTGGTTCCCGCAACCACTGATTTTTTGTGTGTGTATCTCTGTAGTTTTGTCTTTTCCAGAGTATCATTTAATTGGAATGATGTAGTAGGTAGTATTTCACATTGACTTTTCTTCACTCAGTAATATGGATGCCTTGATTGCCTTTTTTTTTTTTTTTTTTTGTTTCTGAATTTTTTTTTTTAAGTTCTGAATAATATTCTATTTGTCTGGGGACTAGCAGTTGGTGTAATGGCTATGTTGCTGGACTCCCATGTAGTCAACCCAGACCCGGTGGCTTAAATTCATGCTGGGTGCATATGTGTGCATTACCAAGATCCTGAGAGGAGAATGGATGAGAAAGGATTGCGGTGTGGCTATCTTCCCTGGGGGGTGATTTCTCGCCTTCTGTCTCTCTGTCTGTCTCTGTCTTTCTGGTGAGCACATGTGCCCTATAGCAAAAACCTCTCCAAAAAAAAAAAGAAAAATTCTATTGTCTGAGTGTACTATATTTTGTCTCTTTACCTCCTAAAAGACATCTTGGTTGCTTCCAAATTGGCAGTTATAAATTAGTAAAATAATAAACATCTATGTGTAGGTTTTTATGTGGATATAATTTTCAAAACTCTTGGGTAAATATTGATTGGGATTACTGGTGATATCTAAAAGTATGTTTAGTTTGTAAAAAATTGCCAAACTGTCTTCTCTTGTGACTGTGCCATTTTACGTTCCCACCAAAAATGAATGAGTGTTGACTGTTCCATTTTACATTCCCACCAATAATGAATGAGCGTTCTTATTTTTCCCTATGTTTGCTAACATTAAGTGTTGTCAGTATCCTGGATTTTGGCCTTTTCTGTTAGATGTGTAATGTTATTTTATTGTTATTTATTTACTTTCTCAATGAGAGACAGGGAGACACGCACACATACAAAGAGAGACAGCCACCCCTCAAAGGGTCTTCATGCTGTAATCTACCCCTAGTCTCTGCTCGTTTGATCACAGATGTGTGCACATGCCTACCATGCTCAGGGAGGTCCTGGGATGTGAACCTAGGACCCTTCCCTTATGGATTCAGTTGTGATATCACTGCCAATACCTGGCCCATTCATTATTGTTTTAATTTGCATTTTCCTTATTGCATATGATGTGAAGCATCTTTTCGTAGGCTTATTTGACATTCATGTATCATTTTTGGTAAGGTGTATGTTAAGGTCTTTGGCTCATTTTTTTAAACAGATTGTTCTTACCATCAAGTTTTAAGAGATCTTTGTATATTTTGCATAATAGGCATTTATCAGATGAGTCTTTTACAAATATCTTCTCTGTCCCGACCCGGGGGGACAGCCGAACGGGTTTCTTGAGTGAAGGAGTGAGAGCCGGGGCAAGCAGCGTAGTGTTACAGCACGGAGACGACAGCGTCGTCTGTTTATTGTGGGCAGCACGGTACAGCACAGAGACGACGCAGTGTCACAACTCTTAAGGGTCGCGGCGTCTTCTGTTGGCCGCGACGCGGTATCACAACTCTTCAGGGTCGTCCGGAGACGATGTAGTGTTACAGCTCTTCAGGGTCTCCCAGGTCGTCTGGAGACGATGCAGTGTCAGCTCTTCAGGATCTTCAGGGTCGTCTGGAGACTGCGCGGTGTTTCAGCTCTTCAGGCTCTTCTGTTGTCGTCTTCCTGGTCGTCGTCGTCGTCTGGCTACTGTGGGCCAGGCATCGTGGTTATATACACTGTGGTGGGTTGCAAACGGTGGGCCCTGATTGGTTGTTAACGGTGGGCCCTGATTGGTTGTTAACGGTGGGCCCTGATTGGTTGTTAACGGTGGGTTATGATTGGTTGCTTTTGGACCAATCATGAGGTGCAGGATATGCAAATTTGAGGGATTCTAGTGATCAATCAGAGCAAGGTTTCGAAGGTCAGGTTTTTGGAAGGGAACCAATCATGGTAACTGTTTGCTCTCTGAGAAACTTCAGCAGACTCGCTGGTGCGCAGCTTCCCACACTTCTCCAGTTTGTGGTTTGTTTTTTCATTCTTATGACAATCATCTTTTACAGAGCAGAATACTTCACTTTAAAGAAATGCAGCTTGTCAGTTGTTTGTTTCATGGGTTGTTCC